ATAAAATTTATTGATGAAAATAAAGTTAATAATTTAAATAAAATTATTCAAAAGCAATGTTTGCCTAATAAATGGAATTAAACTCGATTTGGCTCCAAACTCACATGAAATTGTAATTAATAATACAAATAGAACTATTAAATAATTTAAAAAATAAATACAAATTAAAAATAATTGCGAATAATTAAACGTAGTTGGCGAATCATATCACTTAATTACAATTACAATTGCAAAATTCATGTCTGTACTTACATCCCACTTTGGCGGCCATGCCCACCACGAATATGCCCAGGCCAAAGCCCCACAGGTTGCGCTGCACGGTCGCATAGAGGGCGCCCCAAAGACGTGGCGTCTCCGCATAGTAATGCTGGTAGATGGGATGCGCCGTAAAGAGCCAGAAAACACCGATTGGAATCAGCGTGAACCACATAAATTGGAAGCTGCGCAGCTCACGCAGTTTGTACTGCCTCACGGATAGCTGATCGTAAGCAATGGCCGCCAGGACGCCACAGAAGTAGGAGCCAAAATTCATTTGGAATGATGTATAGAATTCAGTAAACTGAGTATTGCCAATAAACGAGTCCTTCTGTGTTCTGCAAAGCCGAAAGACAAATTAATAAAGCGAACTTAATCGAAGCACACTTTAATTACTTACTGCGGAGTTGGCAGAAAAACGGGATAATAGTCCATGACGTAGGTCAGCACAGCTGGCAGCACCATAAAGATGCCCAGGACAATGCCATAGATCTGCTTGCTCCAGCGACTAAAGCGATGGCCCAGCATCAGCACCACCAGGCTCAAAGCAAAGGATTGCGTGTCCGAAGCCAAATACCAGCCCTGCAGCAGGCACTACAAATACGAAAAGAGATTAAAGGATATCAACTAGAATTGTGAGAGGTCTTACGAAACGAAGCTTACTTCCCCGCATTATAAATAGATTGTTTCTATATATAAATTCTGAGATTTTTGCTCACCCGCTCATCGGTGCCCACATAATTGTTGATAAAGAGCAAATTGGTCCACCAGTTCTTGCGACAGGCGAGCTGTTCCCGTTGGTAAATGTGCCGCCAGAGCGGACCGCCCGCATTCTCAAAGTAAACCCCGCTCAGCAGCACCACGAAGCCATAGGGCACCGTTAGGCGGATATAGCGAAAGACATTGAACTTGACAAAGAGCGCAGCGTATTTGCCGAAACTCCATGTCTCAAGCTTGCCATCCGCCAAGGCGCGAGTCACCGCCAGCCAGTTGATGGTCAGCAACAGGCCGCTGATCACAAAGAACGTGACTGTGATTAGGGAGCCGGAGATGAGGAGTGTGCCGGCAGCTGTGTGCAGCAGGCGTTCCGGATCTTGGGGATTGCTGATGGCGCCCTCGTAGATCACCCAATTGGTGTGCGCAAAGATCACCAGGAACATGGCAAAGAACTTGAAGCAATCGAGAAAACGCAATTCGCGTCCGATCTTGCCGTTCGGTTCCTGGTTCAGGCGATACCAATTCCTGGCTATGGAGCAAGTGAGCAGCAGACGCGTGACCAGGCTGCGAGGCGGCGTCTTGTAATGATCGCGCTCCTTCAACATTTTGTCATGACGACGACGCTTCAGATGCAAGTCGATGAGGCTGCTCAGGCAGGCCAGCAGAATGAGAACAAAGACCAGCACATAGAAGCTCACATTCCACAGATCATCTGTGAAGAGAAAGGAAGAAAGATGTAAAAGTATAACCAGATGAGTCGGACGGAATTTATTTGGTAAATAGATTCTTCTTCTCTGTTTGAGAGTTATCCAATCAAACGAAAGGCAATCTCTGTGGCACCTACCTTCATCGCTGACTTTTCCAGCTGTTGCAGCCGTATCACAGTATTCCACAACACTCCGGGCCTGGACTTCGTATTGTCGCTGCTGTAGGCGCCAGTTGAGGCAGGCGTTGGTCAGATTGTTGTAACGCGCCCGATTGCTCGCCTCCATGTCAAAGAGCTGCAGATACACGTTCACCTGCAGCGCAAGAAAAAAAAAAAAAAAAAAAAAAAAACAAGGTAAACAAAAGGCGTGTAGACCCCATCAAATAGCCATCAAATTGGACATCAAATGTCATAGCCTTGGCCCTGAACAAAATGCAACTGGTCCACATTAGAGTTGGAACCACATTTGTCTTATATATTATTTATTTTTTACCCCACGCGTTTTTGTATAACCAATAAAATGTAAAACTGCATTTTATTGGCATCTGCGGCAAGTGACATTCAGTCAATCAGTAAGGTTTGGAATTTCTTGCTTTGTCTAATTATGCAGCAGACCCACCTAAATTTTGCCCGATAAGAAACTTCACTGATCTAGTTGGCGTGAAATGGATATTGAGATGGATGATTTGTATAAATTATAGCTTCCTCTACAACATAAAAAAGGCATGACTAATATTACATATATTTGTATATTTATAGTTAACTGTTTTAAATAAATAAATAAAAAATATTTCTTTTGGGTTTCTTGAATATATGTATGTATTTTATTATCTTGCCTACTATTTTTAGTTATTTATATATATTTTATATATTCAATTAAGTTTCAATATTCTCTCCCTAAACAATTCAAAAATTTTAAGTCTTGCTTTCAAATACTTTTTTACTTTATTTATATATAATTTGTCAAATATATTTAATAATTTATATGTTTACTTAATACATTTACATTTAATATTAAATTTCCCCATATATTGTTCCAAAAGCCAGTTAGGTCGACATTTAAATTGAATAAACTGATTAAAATTTTATTTGCTCGTCATTAAACTCGAAGCTAAAGAGTCCATAAATTTTTTGAGTCAGCTAATCACAGCTCAAAGGAATAATAAAACAACAAAAGATATAAACTTGCGCTATAAGCATTTACAGCTAGCCAAACCCCTAACGAATGTTGGGGAAAGCAAAATGAATAATTGGTCTACTAGTGACAGAAAATGAGATTGAACAGAAGGTAAGAGCTTATTAAAAAGGTGTTTCAATTAATTATCATAGAGTGTATCACCTATTCGTTTAACAGTGTGTGTTGGTTTGTTTAGCATTTGTTGGCGTTTAAATTTTATTGTTAAAAATTTTATGGGTTCATTCAATGCTTCGATTTCGTTTCGTTTTGTTTAGTTTGTATTTGCATTGTCTTTTTCTTCTATTTCTATTAGCTGCTGTTGGAAATTTTGAAATCTTGATTTTTCTTTGGTTTGGCCAAGGGTGCTAAAGTAAATTAAATGATGCGAGATCTTTCATTCATCGAAATGCAGTTTAGAGGCCCGTTGATTGCATTTTCATACGGCTGTGTTAATTTAAGCCAAGCTCTAAGGCTCATAGAATATCAATCGATGAAGTTGCTAATTCATTAATATATATTACCATTCAAGACAAACAACATTGGTTGGTTTGGTTTTTCACTGTCTAATCTAACATTGATATATTTCTATGTTAGTATTCACCTTGGCATTGTCCGTCAGAAGGCCCGTCTGCAACTTCTGCCTGGCATTGGAATCGAGTTCAGCCAGCTGCGCTTCGCATTTGTGCAGGCAGAGCCCAAAGTAGAGCTGGCGATGATCGAAGTGATGTCTGTCATATTTCGAGATCTCCTGGATGGCACGCCAGGCGGCCGCTGTGCTATTCGGCTGCACCTCTGCGCGCACAAAGCAATAGGTCCCGGCTCCATACTCCTGCAGGCAGCGATCGTAGTCATCAAAGTCGTAAAGCTGCGGCATTTCGTAGTACTGCGTCACTGTGAAAGCAGAGCCAATTAGTAACCGTCAAGGAACTCAGTTGCATGAGTCAGCGGTGCAAAACTAGTTCCCCTGCAATATAATGAATGCCAAAAAAATCCCAAGAACAAGGTAGCCTCGACTAGCCCAATCTTTCTATGCGATCAGTCAAGTAAAAGGAAACTCGTTTTCCTGCCTTAGGACTCAGGCTTGAGTTTGAGCTTGAACTTGAATGCAAAGGTGTTTAACCTTGGCAGAAATGTAATTTCTAGAACTTGATGTTGTTGTTCGAAATTCCCACTTTGTGCAAATGACTTAGAACACGAACCTGAATTTGTATTGCTTCATCTGGATATGTCAATACTGGAACTTGAGATTGAATTGATTGAATTAAAAGGTTTTTTAATTTATTTTTATTTAGAACAAGTACAATACATAAAGAAATATATTTCTAATTCAAAAGACTTAGCACACGAACTTTTTTTATCGTGTTCCAAAGACCCTACATTAGTTATGCTCAATCGAGCAGTAATGCCAAATCTCTTGTTATTGCACTTGAGAACGCCAACGTCTATGAATAAAGCTTGAACTCAAATTTGGGGTTCTTGACTTTTGCCGGCTTTCACGCCGAGTGCAAAAAGTTGCTTATATTTATTAAAAGAGTAAATCGTCCGATGCTTGCTTGTGATGACAAGCTGAGTAAACAAATTATTCAAATTATCTTTTTGTCAACTTTTATCTCGGTTAAAAATGGGAAAAGTACTTACTAATTGGATTTATTATTCGTTAGAATCGGATTAAAAATCTAAATAGAACCTGAATGATTTAGGGTATAGTCGAATTACTATTGTTACCAGTTAATTAAATTATTCCGTTACTATTAAAATCGTCTCAAAACTCGTGCAAAGATAAATTTGTATCTACGCTAAAAGCTTTTTATGGAACATAAACAAATATTACGTGTTATGTTCTGATGATGTGTGGGGGAACTTGGAAATTTAATTTTGGATCGGTTCAATAAAAATGCGTTTTGGGCAAGACAAGAATGCTGCCCAAACAGCGAGAAGTTGACAGCTGAGATACAACATTTGATCAGTATAACAAATTCAGATGGAATCATTTGAGAATTTATATTGACAACTCACAGTAATTAAGATCGCAAATTGATTTCATATCAAGTGCGAATCTGCCAAATCATCTGACGTTGATAAACAATTTTAAGTATCTGGGCGAAATCTTCCATTGTCACTGTTTATAAATTATGCGTTTGGAATGTGAGGCCTTGAAGGTGAGTTTGAATTGTGCATCTTGGGGAATATTTATCAATTATATTGCTATTAAATTGCATTTGTGAATAACCTGATGGATCACAGGATAAAACTTAAAATGGATGATGTGGGCAGAAATTGTTAAGAAAATCATTTTCGATTATTAAGACATTTAATACGCTTATAGTACCTATAGTATATATGTGCTTAAATTTCATATGGGATTTTGTATTCAATTTCGTTCAGAAAGTAATTGCTAAAACAAATGGATTTGCATTGCAAACCTGACATTTTTAACACATTATATCACAAATAATGTGAGCAATTTCTAGGCATTGTGCAAACACTGTCGGCTATCCTATTGTACTAGGAATTGTTTCTAATGCGATGACAACGCCCCGTCAACACATTGCGTGCGAATGGGCTTTATTTACGGACTCGGGCTCAAAACAAAACTGAAAACCCATAAAAATCCCCATTATAATATTAAGCATTAACACTTAATTCGATGTTACGGATTACTTACTGTTCATCTCGAAGCATCGCGCGGCTGGCAGGAGCACGCAATAGGCGATGATAATGTTTAGCAGCCACATGATCGACTCTCTCTCTTTTTATATTAGCCACAATGCACTCAGTAATAAAAATAAAAATAATAATAATAATACAACAACGACAACGACAACGACACCTACTTAATTGTATTTGCTGCACTTTTGAATATTTTCGGGTTTGTTTTTGTTTTGAGAAACTTGCGACACTCGGCCGAAAGCAAAAAAATCTCTCGCCGCTGGGCAACTAAAATTTCATCAACGAAAACCTGGGCATTAAACAAAAGCCGCTTCAATGCCAACTGTTAGGAAATTGCGCTACGCTTCCGATAGCAGCTGCATTCGATGCGCTTTTCCACGAGCTCGAAATTTGTATTCGAAATTCGAAATTGAAAGTCGCGCTGTACCGAACCGTGCGCGCCAACGTGCGAGCCGAGAATGAAATACAACGAAATTGATCCATTCAAATGAAAGGTGCGTGCTGTCGGGCAGAGCATCGAAGCTCCCCAGCTCCCAACCAGCCAGCCAGCCAGCCAGCCAACCAGTTGACCACCTGTCCCATCTGTAGCAGATGATGTTTTGATATAAGTCTTCCGTTAAATTGCGTTGGAACATGTTCGATGCGCGCCCACATGCAGCTGATTTAAAGGGTATGCGGGCAGCTTTATAGAAACGAGTTTGATGCCCATTCATTTGACATATATAGAATAGATCAGGGGTTCTATAACCAAATGAGATACAGAAAAAATATCAACAAGTTGCCAAATATGATAATAATGATGACCTGTACCTAGTCCTAAGCTGGTTTTGAGTTGTAATAACTGGAAACGGTTTTGGCGTGAATCCGGGAGTCATAATTAATCATAATTAAAATTACAGAGTTCAAAAGGTCAAGAACAGCAGGCAAAGCAAGCGCCTAGAGCATAAGTGAAGAATTTTTGTTCTCCCTTTTAATGTTTTCTTTACTTGACATCTTCTTTGCAGGCAGCTGCTGGGCTTGATCAGCCTCTCGCAGGCACGGGCCCGCCTAGATCTGGCCAGCACTGTGACGTCGCTGCACGTGCGAGATGTGATTGCTGTGGTGACAGAGAGCATGGCTCAGACCCGCCTGGGCGCAGCATCTGGCCAAGCATCAGCAGCACCAAGCAGTTCCAGCAAAAAATCACAGCTACAAAATTTTGTGCGCATGATGCAGATGCGATCGGCTGCGCTGGGTCGCTCCATCTTTGAATTCGAGGAGCTGAAGGAGATGGGCACGCGAGCGGGTATTATGACCGGCATCTCTAATCTGGTGGAGCTCGCCAATTTGGGCGGCTATTTGCTCAAGAAGGGCGTAAACATGTACGAAGTGGTGCCCGACTAATCGAAGTGTCTAGGTAAATATCTTAACAGTGTTTGCTGTGAAACTAATGTATTTAGCTTTAAGTTTTGCCGAGTCTATAAGCTGCTTGGCTGTAATACAATGTTGATTAGTTTCCTATTTAACTTCTAGCGGTGCACAAACGAAATGTTTAACAAAGCTTTCGTTGGGTAACAAATGTTTTCGATTTTTGTTGACCTTTTGATGATTCATTCCATCGAATTCTATAAAACTACATATAATTGGTTTTATTCACTTTTTGACAGTGTAAATTAATGTTAAGATGCCCTATTTTAACTTTAAGATGTTAATTGATGTTAAATTAAATAAAAAACGGGTTCAGGGTATACAAATCTAGAAGAACTATCAATGCCATGTTTAAATTGTGGTCTACGCCACCTAGCGGCAAGTAGCATAAGCTCTGAGCATAAAAAGTTGCATACTTTTGCGCTAAGTCTACGATTTATAATACATATTTTATTTACGCATACATGAAAATATAAATATTGCTAATTTAAACAACTTTAAAACAATATGTTGGTTTCAATTAATACTTTATTCACGTCGTATTCATAAAATTACATTGAATCAAATATATCAAATATAATATATGTTAAAAATCCAACTGAGAATGCTCCTTCTGTTCTTCGTCAGAGTAGTTTGTATCCTACGTATTTCCATGCTATAATTTTTGCATCGTGTTTCGGTAATTGTGAGGCCTTACATTTAGTTTATTTGATTAGTAACTATGGTATATAATTTGTATGCATTTTATATCAAAGATTCGTTTTCGTTTATAAAGTACAGCACTACAGGTAATTGGGCTTAGTCTAAATGGATTAGTTTCGTTTTAATATTAGATCTATCTTTTACCGTGCCTTTTATAACTATATACAAGAAAATAATAAACAAATCAACGAGCGAACAGGCGCCTTATGATAAATATAGGGTATAAACGTACATCAATATTTGGCATAACTCTTTTTCATTCGCTATCCAACATCCGTTAAAATCTTATGCTAATTCCAAGTGTCTTCCTTTAATTGAGATATATGTGACATAATGCTTAATGCCTTCGATTTGCTAATTAAGCATAGATTAGTAAGGGTTTTGATCTCCATTTTGTCATTTTGCGTATATTTTAAGCTAATCAGTCTAAATAAATTAAATAGAAGGCAACAAAAATTCAATATTTGTGGCTAAAACGGAACAAATTGACGCTAATTGCGGGCTAAATATTTGCTGCTAAGTAGATATACATATATATATATATATATATGTATATATGCTAGACTTATTATGATTAAGCTCTACTAATTTTACCTAGGATCAAACAGGCAATAGATTTATAAAGGAATTCAATTTATATAAGTCTTAAATTGAAAAAATAATAAATTTACATATTGCCTGTTAATCATAAATTAGATAAATGATATACAAGTTGACTAATTAGATCAATAGATAAACACAGTTAAAATAGTATAAGATATTATCTGTTTGTCTTTTGCTAGACAATTCAATTTAAATGAGATATATCTCTACGAATCATCAACTGCTTGAATTGTTGATAACAAATTAAACATATTGCACAAAGTGTGGACCGTACAGTTTAGAATTCTATGGAGCTTACAATTGCTTCAACGGAATGCTCGCGGGCAGTGAAATGGTCTATTGGATATAGATTCACATAGGTAGTTTTGGTATATGATAACTATGCTCTGGGCTTTGTACTTTGAAATCTGTGAGACGCGGAGAAGAGAGTACGCTGCGTAAATAAAGCTTAATAACATGCACTTGTCCGTACTTAAGAGCTACGAAAAATAAATCAATGCCTTAACTAAATATTAAATAAATAAAATAAATATTTTCGATTCTGTTTCACATGAGATAAATCATAGAGGCTTCACTAGTTGCGGCCGTTGTCTGGGCTATTGGTTATCTTACGGGGCTTACAGTGCGCCACTAAACGTTAGATTATAGGTGCGCAGCTCCATGGGCTCGAGCGTGATCTCTGCCAGCGAGCGTAAGCTTTGCGGCTGCGTATTCTTGGCCAAGCCCGTTAGGCTGGTCGCCTCGATGCTTTGCAGATGCAGATCTCCGAAGCGAACGGCGCCCAGTCCGTTGCCAGTCAGCGGGCACAGGCTGCTCATGTCCAGATGCTGCGAGCTGACGCTGCAGTCGTAGCCCTGGCGGTGCAGCACCATCAGTGCCGAGGCGGACGGAAACAGTTGCAGCTGTGGCTCCGAGAGTGTGCGCAGTGTCGTCAAATGGACGTCGCAGGGTAGCGCTCCGTGTGGCAGAAGACGGACGAGTGAATGCAGCGCCGCTTGGGGCTGCTCGAAGTTGCTCAAAAAGTAGAGATTTGGTGGATAACGCAGTCCGTTGGCCAACTGTTGGGCCTGCAAGCTGAGCACCTTGTAGCTGGGCGGGTTGTCCACATGCTGGCTAGCCGGGATGTCTTCCACCAGCAGCCAAAACTTGTGCCGCGTCAGCCGACTGTCGACCACGCCCTCGCCCATGCCGCGATAATCATCGTAGAGGGTGCGACGATCCAGCATCACCTCCAGCTGGCCGGGCTCATAGCTGGCGGCGCCCTGCGCATGCGTAGTGAGCAACGTTAGCCGCAGGCGCGCATCTTGCATAAATGCGGCCGACGTAATGGGGAAATAGTTGCCCTCGATGCCAATCGCAGGCACCTTGATGCGCCTGTTGAGCAAGCACAGATTACCATGTGACTAATCGCAAATACAAGTGAGACTACTTACTGATGAAACTGGAAACCATTCTGATCCGTGTAAAATACTGGCAATTCGGGCATGCTGGTCTCTGTTGGATCCTTGAGCGGATCGCGTTGCACTGGCGCCGGCGCAATGTTATCTATGTTGGTGACCAGACGCATGAATAGCTCCGTTTCCCGATTCTTGGGAGGCGGCTCAAAGTCGATGTCATTCTCGATATATATGGCGGCATCCAGATGCGTATGGGTGTTGAAAATTCGCACAGTATGCGCCATGAATGGCCCGTAGATGACCGTCACATCGCTGGCAATGGGCCCGGAGGTGATTATGATGCGCACATCCTCGTACTGCTCCAGCACATCCTTCTCGGCCTCACTCTGCTCGGGATCCGTTTTGAACAGATATGCGCCCGAATGGAACTGCGCGCTGCGATAGGCCGCGAATTTGATGGCGCACTGCATCGGATGCAGCAGCTGCTGCTGTTTGTTTTTCCGGGTGATGGTCTTCAGGAAACCGCTCTTCTCATCGAACAGCAAGCGCATGTGGCCATTCTCCAGCTGGATGTCACCTGGTGATGTGGGAGATGAAGAAATTATTATAGCGAAACTAAATCATGATATTGATCTGCTTGCTTACCGGCTGGCTTGGCCTTTGCCTCGAACTCCACAGGATTGGGCTTGCCGGGCGTTGTATTGCCAGCCTCGTTGACAGTCGCCTTCTCGGTGCAGTCGTCGCAGTAGATGGTGGCAATGTTGCGCTTGTAGTTGAACTCGTCCACCTGGACGCGATAGGTGGTCAGCGAGAGTGGCTCCAGCTCGGCCACAAACATCACCTCGTACTGACGCCTGGAGGTGCGTATGCGAGCGCCGATGCTCGACTGGGGCATTGCATTGAAGCCCTGCTGTTCGTAGGCATCCGTGATGTTCCACACGGGATTGATCTGGATGTGCTTCAGCTCGACGCCGCGTTCATTGTAGATCCGCACGTTGGGCTGCTGCACTCGCAGCGTGACGATCTCGATGCGCCGCTGTGTGAGCGCATTGAAGACCACAAAGCTGGCCTCAGCATTTTTGGCGAGCGGCACAGGTGACTCTGCATCGCCATCGTCCAGGTCGTTGCCCGTGTTGGTGGTGCCGCTGTTGCCGGCCTCGTCGCTGCCCGCGGCGCTCGGATACATCAGCTGGATGGGCATCTTTCTGGGCAATTTGCTAAAGTTGTCCCGTTCGAATTCACTGATCAGGAAACCGTGCTGGTGTGAGCTGCTGTTCTGGAGCAGCAGCTCCACACACGCCTCCTGCATCTTGACCATGTTCTGGGTGCTGTCGAACAGTCGCATCGCATAGTCACGCATCACCGCCGCCTTGGAGGTGCCCGTGATGGCGTCGTGGTGCTGGAACAGGCCCAGATTGCGCCTCGCATGGATAATTTGCTCATAGTTCTTCTCGTAGATCTTGATGGCGTCATCATGGTGCAGTTGCCGCGCCGTATTGTAAGCAATCGTGAACAGAATCTCGGCAGCGCGCAAATTGTGCTCCAGCTCGGCGCTCAAGAGCTTGTAGTAGGGCCGGGTCGTGAAGTAGCCCGACCAGTAGGCGGGTCTGCCCTCCGAGAAGATATCCGAGTAGACGAAGAAATCACCCTTGAAGCTGGGGAACGCCTTCTCCGAGCCCATGCGCTCTCGTATGGCCGCAAAGTAATCGCTGGGCGTGCCAAACTTAATGTCCACGTTGTACAGCCGCTTGTTAGCCATGATGTGGCTGATGAGCTTCTTGTAGTTGCGATACTGCTGGTCCACCTCGCGCTCCTTGTTGTAGCGGAAGTCGTCACCCACGGGTATCAAGGCCACGTTGTGCGGGAACAGGGAGGCGGTGCGTGCGTATTGCTCCAGGAGCAGCTCTGCCTTTTCCTCCAGATTCTCATCCGTGATGTACTGCGCCTTCAGCGAGTATTCCGTGTACTCTCCGGGTATCTTGCGAAAGTCAAAGTTCAGGCAGATGGAGGGATGCGGTCCGCAGGAGCCCTTTATGGAGTATATGTCGAAGGGCATGTTGTGGGTCAGTAGCTTGCCGTGGCCGTTGGCCGTGCGCCAGTAGGGCGTCCAGATGAAATCTCCGCTCTGCTGGCGAGCGAACCACTCCTTCCAGGCATAATGGATGCGCTGTATGATCGCGCCCTCGAACTGGGCACCGGACAGCAGATAGGGCACCGTGCTGCCGTGCCCAAAGGGATCAATGGACCAGCCCACCTTGGGCGTCACATTCAAATTGTTCTTCAGCCACTGGTGGCCCTCGATGAGCTGATCGAGCATGGGATAAATGTGCACATTGGCCTCATCCGTCATGACCCAGCCGCCGGTGGTGATTTCAATGCGTCCCGAGTTGACCAGGCGCTTGAGGGCGCGCTGCTTGGTGGGATGCGCCTGATCCCACCAGAGCTGCAGAAAGCTGATCTCCGACCAGATGAAGGTCATGTCCTTATACTCCTGCATCTTGGTCACCAGCAGATTCAGTATCTGGCGCGAGTCCGATTGGAAGTAGTTGTAGAAGGTCTTCAGCCAGCCGGGATCGTTGTGGGAGTGCGGCACAACGATGACCTTCAAAGGCGGACGTTGTTTATCCTTCTTCTGCGCCTCGTAGCGCTCCTCAAAGCCGCGATCCCAATACTCCTTCGAGCGCATCCATTCGGGCTGCGAACAGAGAATAGAACAATTGCAAAAATTACTTAAGCTAAGATTTCATTTGACAGTTTCAGTTTAATTTAATGAATATGCTGTTCAACCGTTTAGCTGGTATACGATTAGATGGGATTTTAATAAACTCCATTCTATGTACTTATCGTTCATAATACAATGACTTAAACATGTGTAACTGGAACTGTTTTCTAAAATGCATTTATTTTTTAATGCTCTATATCTCTAAAACCCCCATAAACATATTTCCCGCTTAAAGCACTGCTGCCCAGTCCTCGAATAATTTGAAAAGGTATTAATCCTCTCGATATATAGATGTATGTTTTACGTATTAGCATAGATATATCCGTAATATCTTTATGTATATCCATTTGAAACTCTCTAGAAAATAATAGAGGGATTACGGAAAATGCAGACAGACGGACAGTGCATAAAACCAATATATTTATTTCATTTTCGTCTTATCCTCCTACGATACTAATGGAAAGATATTTGTCACACTTTTATAAGAATAGAGAAAGCTATTTTTAATCACAGTTAATCGACTAATCGATCTGCTTGCAAACATCCCGAAATTCATGTTTGTTATCGTAAACTAAGCTAGTCGTAACTAATGACTAATGAGACGTAAATCCTAATGACATATATGACTTGAAATGTAACATTAATAGCTAAAGTAACAGACAGCTATCCAAGTACTTTGTCGACCCAGTTGTAAGAAATTTAGTGAGCTAAGGAAAGGAAAACCTTATCTTTCACATTTTACTGAAAATGTACAGTAATTATTCTGTAAGAGCTGAGAGGCAATCGACAGAAAGGAGAATGTAAGAGCTCAAAGTACAACGTATCTGCTCTACTTCTGCTTCCTGCTGAAAGCCAGGAAATATGTGTGTAAAGGAGTAAATCAATTGAGCCGTGCAAAGCCGGATAATATACGCTAATTTAATATGAGGGCAAGCAGTGCAGTCTTACCTGGAAGTCAAATCGGCTGTGCTCCTCCGAGGCGGTAATGTTTGTTCTGCTCTGGAGCAGCACGTAGCACTTGTCGCCCCAATGCACATTCCGCAGCGACTCCTCGTCCACAATTTCGTGTTGCTGCGTGCTGGGATACATTTTCTTGGCTTGTTGTTGTTGTTGTTGTTGCTGCTGCTGCTGCTGCTGTTCCAGTTGTTGCTGCTGCTGCTCCTGCTGTTGCTGCTGCTGCTGCTTCAGCTGTTGATGCTGCTCCATGCTAAAGCTGTTAAGCGCCGCCGCCTGGGCACGATTCATGCCCGCCGTATTGGCATCTGCGATGTGCGCCGGGCTCGGCTGGCCAATGGAGAAGTAGTAGAGGAACAGCAAAATGGTCACAAATGCCGACAGGAGGCCAATGCAGCGCGCCGAGCCACGGCGAAAGGGTTTGAAAGTCATCTTGCGCAAGAGGATCTGGCGTCCAGATTATCCCAGTTGTCGTTGCAGTTGCTTTGTATTGCTTGGCTGTGCTTTGTGTTTTTGTGCTCGATTGTTATCTCAGAGCCTCTGCAATGGCAAATAACAACAATAAGAATAATAACAAAGCTGAACATCATTAGCATCGTCATTATCATTTGTCAAATGCGCAAAGAAAGCAACAGGATTTAAATGCGATTTTAAACAGACATTTGCAGATGACAGGCAAGCAGACGGGTTGCATAAGCCAACAAATACTCTGTATATAAATATTTAAATTAAATTAATTTGTATATATGTAAATGGAGTCTGTATAAGAAATTAGTAAGTCGTTATCTAATCCCTACTCTATACCCTATTCGTAATGCAAAGACAGGGTATTTCTCATTGTAGCTCAGTTGAAGTACAATGAATTCATTGCATAATCCCTGAGTGGAACAAAGCCAACGTCTCGATCTCAGTTGCTGTTGCTCATAAATTTAAGATGTGCCCATTCCTCCCTGCCATCGAGACCACTTTGCCTCAATTCGAGAGCAAGTGCTGTAATATTTCACATCCCATTGAATATTTCATGCTGGCCGAGGCTAAGGAGCCGCTGGGTTGGCTTGGGACACTCCGAGACGTCGGAGGCGCCTTGCGAAAATTTAATTAAGGCACATCCCAAATATGTTTCGCATGTCTGCGATGAATATATATACATAACATAGACAAATATTTACTTATATTTATACGTATAATTAGTTCCAGAAAGGACGCCTTACAGGACCTGCGGACCTGCGCATTTATGGCATAAATAAATTTGGCATTTGAAAAGCATTAAATTCGAAATGCTAAATGCAATTAACGTTTAATAAACTAAAAATAATTCGTGTGCAAATGCGAGTAATTGTTGCATTATTGAAAATTACATTTAATGAAATATGCTAATTACATTTGCACTGTCAATGGACAGAGCGACTGGGCGGAAAGTGGAGCCCGAATCGAAATGCAATTTAATTTGGTTCACAATAACGAAATGAGTTTCTATGTGATGCACACGCTTGAGAGAGTATCCAGAGTTCGCATTCATGAAATCTTTGTTTGCTGTATAAAATTCACGCAAAGACAATACAAGTTTTAAACAAAAGCTTAGCTTAACAGTTCACTTAGCCTCAGCTCGCAGTTGTCTAGATTTATTTATTTATTTATCATTTGGACTGGAATTAAATTGTGTCTGTATATGAAAACATTTTTAAAGCATAATAAAATTATATATGTATAATATAAAGCAAATATATGTTCCAAATGTTTTAAAAGACTTTTAACAATTAAATAAAATTATGATCAAAGACATCTCTATTAAAAAACCGGTACATAATCTAATGTTTTAGAAGATTAAAAAAACCTAATAAATTAAAAAAACAGTACTTTAAATTATGCTCGTAAGTGGGTAGATAATATCTCTATTTAAAGAAATTGGCCCCAAAAAAACTTGACTCATACTATAAACATTTCAGAGAATGATAACAACTCAATGTTCTACATTTATTTCAAACAAGTTTCAAAACGAATCTGTTGCACCTGCCACACGCAAAGGTTAAGAAAGTGAACTTGAACGAATTATTCCAAGAAAAGTTCACTCAAAGCAAACATCGCAACTTTGTAATTATAAAGTACTATAAATTCATGGAACAGCATTACAACCAAATTTTCCACATTAATTTTGCTTTTTTTTTCTATATTTAATAAAAGTTCTTTATGCCGCAATTTCTGCACTTGCCACACACAAAGTGCAGCAAAGTTGAAGGAAAAGTCAAAAAGTCAAGGCAGGCAAATTACGTTGCCCCCCAACGAACTTAACGAACCAAAAATACCAGAAATAGAAGGACTTGCAGCATATATTCAAAACTCAATCAAAAACTATTCGCACACACATACACCTACACACACATGTACACGCATAAAAAGTTGGTGAAAACTTTTGCCCAGTTTGACCCCAAAATTTGCAGCTTGTGCGGCGGCCCACAGTGCGTATGTGTGATGGGCACATGGAAATGCATCACGCATACGCCATGTAAAACAATTTTCAAATTATAATTTAATAAAGAAGTAGCAGGCAGAGCGAGATGCAAATGCATGTATGGCAGCTCAATTTGAATTACATTAAATGTAATCTGTGCTGAAATGCTTCACTAGGCAGCATATTCAAGAGCTGGTGTCGGCAGCAGCGCCTGGACCCCCTTAACCAATGTTTCAATTAGCCGCACACACACTTACACATATACAGCACACACACACACACACAAGCAGACAGTCACAGTCACAGTCACAGTCACAGCGTCAGCCCCTCGCATGCTAATCAGCGGCCATTAAGTGACGTTTGCTCTGCGAATGCCCGCATCCCGTTCAGCCACCGAAAGCACCTGTCACTGGCTACATGCAAATTTCTCTCTCTCCCTCTCTCTCTCTCTCTCTCTGTGTGTGTGTGTGTGTGTGTGTTTTCCTCTCGACACGTTCAGCAGTTAAGTTAAACGCTGTGCCCTTCCCCCATGCCGCAGCACACTTTGCCAACTGCATGACACAATGTGCTCAGTGTATAAAAATCAAGTCAGAATGTTAAAACCGCGCAGAGTCGACTGCGTAATACTCGTTCAGAATTCATATGAAATGCACAGTAACTTAATACTTAAGCACTAGCAACTGAGCCCTTAGCTTGGGGTTACTATATACTTAGCTAAGGCTGAAGAAAGAAAGTCTAAAGTCATAGAATAAAACTACTTAATAAGATGCTGTTAAAGTTAAAAACCACTTCGATTAGGTTATTCATAAGACTTATAGAACTTTTTCAACAAATCAACAATCAGTGAAGAATCCTATTTTCTGATTGTTTATTAAATTTGTATAAGTTATGTTTGTTTATCAATGCATTAAATTAAATTAGAATATACAATTTCTAGTCAAATCTATATTGAAGTATTATACTATTCCATTACTTAATATACCTCTAATCTTACATCATGAGCGAGTATGAAAACTTTGGCTTAAGCTCATTAGAAGTGCAGTGGAAGAAATGTAGGAGGCTTAACTGAAAGTGGAGCGGGAAAAAACACTGCGCGTGCTGCACTCCAGTTGAAGATCTCTCTCGTTTTTCACAGTATTTCTTGTCACATCTTTGGTCAGAGCCCCATTGCGTTTGCATTTATCAAGTGGCATTCAAGCCCCTCTGTCAATTGACATTGCAAAATATGATTCGCATCGCTGCCATAACTTTTCTCAACTTGGGGTGAAAATATAAAAGAACTGTGAAATTATTTAAGTGGTTTTTCAGTTTAGGAGCGGAGTTCAAACTACTTTTGAAGCATTCGAATCTCAACTGTTTTGTTGGCACTTGCATTTTAAGTGGGTTTTTCTAACATTCTGTTTTCATTTCCAGATTTGAAAAGAAACTATACTGAATTTTGTGTTTACAATAATAAATATAATAAATTATTAACACTTGTTTTTGTTGTATTCTGAACTCATTAAAAATATGCATTCATAGTAATTCTGATAAAATTGCTGAAACGAGCAGAAGGAGGCGTGGCAGAGCCGATAAGGAACTGAATGGTTTCGCATGCAAGCAATGAGGTAACGTCGAATGTAGGAGATGATTCACACTGTCGAAGAATCATTGGTCCTGTTCTTAACTTTGATAAATTCAAATCAAGGGGAAGAAGTAAATTTGTTTTTAAGTTAGTTGAATTCTAATGCAAGGTGGTTTCAAGGTATGCCTCAGTCGGGCCCTCCTACATACGTTTCTAAAGAATTCGGAAATGTTTATACAATTCATTTAAATAACAAATATGAAATAAATTGTGCAAGTCAGTAAATATAAATGATTATTTATATACTGTTATGTATATTGTACTTTATTATATTGTTTACCTACCCAACAATTTACATACAGGTGAACTCTTTGTTAGTTGCCATGGATTTGTGAGAGGGAGTCAAAATCTTGCTTCTCTGAAAGAACAAAAGAACAGAATGAATTACAGCTTGCATAAAAGGTAATGAGAGGGAAGTAAGAGAGGGAGAAGTAGGCACAGTGAGGGATTAGGTTCAGGCAATTAAAGCATACTATGCTGTGAGGCATGAGAATCGCCTGGAAGAGCAATAAAGGCCAGTTCAATTATGATAATACCTGTCTTATATTACTAAAATATGATAACTGTCTTAATAATTAATAAGGCAGCACTGTTATTGTGTTTGTTGCTTAAAATAAAATTCCTTAATTTGCTACAAACTGTCAATCAACAAAATATGGTTGCTACTTAATTAAAAACACACACAACATCCATCCATAATTGTGAGAGATATTTGAATGTGAATAGCCAAATAATAAAGCAGAAATAAATTGCAAAGTTTCTATTTAAATCAACTGTCTGAAAGTTTGCAAATCAAATCGCTTGATGGAACATTCCGACTTATTAGTTGCTCGAGAGGGCAAAAACTTTTTGCCAAATTTGATTTCATCGCAAATTGCTCTGGCCATAGCCGAGGGACAGACAGGATGGGGCTTTCAGTAACCCGTCCGGTTGAGGTCCTTTTGACGTCCTTTTGACTTGCTGACATGTTTGCCCGTTGCCGTTGTCGTTCTCGTTGCCGTCGCTCGTTTTTGGTTTGTCGCCCGGTCTTCTGCACAATATGCGAGTCATTCCAGCTTAAAATTGTTTCAGATCGTGTTCTATACCCTGTTGCCATGATGCCGGATGGAATATGATGCCAATTTGGCATTGTGTGGAGCAGAGGCAGAAAATGTATAATTCAATGTGCGGGACTTGTATAATATAAGTGTTGTAGGTCACACAATTTTTAAATTTATTTTTTGATTCTTTCCAATTATTTTTTAAATTTGTTTATTTATTAAATTTAGAATTTGAACTTTTTATTAATTACCGGCAAATTAAAATAGTTTAACATGGATTAATGTAATGTAAAACTTGTTTTAATTTAAATTAAATAAATACATCAAAATATAGAAATATTTAATCATAAATTAAGAAATATCTTAAAATGAAGCATATTTCTTAATTTATAATTAAATGTTTCCATATTTTTTATGTATTTTTTTAAATTAAAGTAAAACAATTCAGCCCCAGAGTTCAGCTTTAGCTTCAAATCTTAAAAAATTCAAGTTCACTTTAGGTCATCATAGACCACTCTACAGGGCATTTTCCAGTCGAGTTCAAGCGGGTTTTCAAACAGTTTGTCCTCGTATTTCTGGACTGCAAAAACAGTTTTGCCTGCACACACAATAAGAACAACATCAACAACTGAACAACGACAACCTGAAAGCAAAGTCAAAACGGAAAAGTCGTGAAGTTTTTCTCGCCTGGCATGCTGCTGAGCTTTTCCTTTATTTTCCCTTTGTTTTTCCAACCACAAAGTCAACGCAGTGCAGTTCAGATTTCCCATATGCAGTTTTGTTGCTGAAATGCATTGATTTCTGTTGCAGTTGTTGTTGCTAAACAACAAAATCTTTGCAATTTTGTTTTTGAGTTTTGCATGTTTCTGTTTTCAATTTTCTTTTTTTTTTTTTGTGGGACTACCCGAAGTTTCTGAGAGCTCTCGAATTCAATTTTTAACTTTGTTTATCAGAGTTCACTGTTTGTTACGCACTCCAAATTGTTCTTGCTGTTCGTTGTTTTGTAAATTTGAGGGTAATAATTTTAAATCGAAAGGGATGTGGCTAGCAGGAAATTGAAAGAGTTGGCCAACATGAATTGAGACCGATGGGTTATTGCTCTGGCAGACTATGCATGTATACATATATGAGAAAACTAAGCTGAATAGGAAAAAAAACCAAATAAATAAACAAACAATATTTAAACTAGTTCAAGTAATCACCGCTTGGCTGTGGCGCTAACGAAGCTCGATTTTAGCCGGATAAAGTTTGTACATATATATTGGATATAGTAAGATATTCGCTCGTATATTTTAGGGTTTCGCTCCACTTTAAGCCCAACTTTGATAATATAAATAAATGGCAAGTGGCAAGGTCTCAAAGCAAAAGCAAGTTTGACAGCAGCTAAACTTAGTAAAGCCAGAAATTTCGTAAACAATAACAGCAATTTGCGATTAATCAATTGCAACTACACTTGAAAGCCAAATTGAGAATTTCCCAAAAGTTTCCGCCGGAAAATCTAGCAGCGAAAGCTTCAAAATCCGTGTGTGTGTGTGAGTGAGTGTGTGTGAAGGGCTCTGCCGTTGACATCAGCATAAAAGCAATCTGGAGCCCGACGGAAAGTTCAAGATTTTAATTAAACAAAGCAGCCAAGCACTGAAAATCGACATAGACTAGACATAGCGGAACCGGTAATAGCGCTTCAGATAGTTCAGCTCCCATCTTCTGCTCCCAACTATCTGAGGGGCTAAGCTGGGGAGCGACTAAGTGTGTGGGCACGACATGTGCGCTAAAAAAAAAAAAACAACACATAACATAACCGAAAAGACCCATTAGCATAGCCAACGACCCAACAAACAAGGTAAAAACAACACGAGCTAGAATTAAGTTACATATACATATGTATTTACATATATATACATATATACTCATATGTTTACAATTATAATTATGTGAAACTAGAATATAAACCTAAAAGTATTTGGATTTAAAGAGTTTCTTATCTGTTCTGCATATGAGAACCCTTTTGCTGGCATACTCTATATGATGTATGCCGGTTATTATAGATAATCTCGGCCAACTCTTTTTGGCGTCCACCCACTGCCAACATTTAACTGTGAAACAACAACAACAACAATGCTAACACAAACATTGCTTTATGTCGATGTCAGTTGCAATTGAGCCAAAAGCAGCTTAAACGAACTGAACACCAACATTGGCAAGGGACCCCAAAAGCCGTTAGACGTGCACACACACAGATACAGATACAGCTACAGCTAACAGATACGATACATACATAAACAGGCACACATATACTCACATATGCATGCATGCATGTATGCGGATATACATACATATATCGAAATATGCGCGCAGCAATTACGGACATTGGACAACATAAAGTCACAACAGACCAGCAGAACAGTTAGTCATTTTTACAGCGTTGCCGTCTGACACATAGACGACAACAACAACAACAACTACAGCTTTTAAAAGGGTCACCAACCGCACCGCCAAAACTTATGCACAGCGAGAAAAAAGCTTAACCGAAGTCTGTGATTGAATTTTGTGTTTAACCTGACCATTTTGCAGGTGTTTCATTCAATTAAAGCCATTGGAAAAAGGTTAAAATGAATTTAAGACAGGTGTACAAGTGACATGACATAGGAGGTAGCTCCCATTCAAAATAAGGGCTTGATTAAACATTAAAACAAAATTGATGAAGTAAATGGTAATAAGTGTAATAAGTAATACATAAGCATAAAATACATGTGAAATATAGCATACTGGGTAAAGTATCTGTATTTCTGTTATTGCTTAAACTGAGAAATATATTTTCAAAATGTAATTATGTTTACATTGAAAGGCTATTTTCATTACCACCCAAAACTCAAAAATGGCTCATATAAATTTGACCCAAATTATAATCTTTCTGCTGCATAGGGAAAATAGTCTCTATAACTTTATTTTTTCTTATTGAGTTATTTTATTTATTAATTATTTATTTATTGATTTTACTCATTTATTTATCAGAATGAACGTAAAATTAAAATTTATTTTAAATTAAGTTCTGGCTACTGAGCTTGAACTCTGTAATTTAAATAAGTTAACTTTATGCAAAACATTTTATAATAGAAAGAAACAAAATTTTTAAAATTGAAAAAATATAATATATAATGATGTAATTATATTATATAAATCATCCAGTTATGTCTTCTAGGGCTATAGGCTATAAACTTCAGATTTAGTTTGTAGAGCCTCCAATTACTGAGCAGACATTAAAAAATTAATTCAAGTTTTTCTTTTGCTATGTATACATTTTTTTGAAAGAAGCGTAGAATGAATGCATTATCAGTTCCCGCAGGGTTTGGGTATCTTTTGATCGAGCAGTCGCTATTAAAGCACTCTTACATCATTTCATATCAAATTCCATATTTGGAATCTACATATGTAGATGTATATAGAAAATCTAAAACTCAACCTACGGCCAGCAAAATATTGTATTGAAATGTGTCTCTTTGTCTTCTCTTAGCTTCCTTCATGCAATCAGGGGCCAGCTGCGGATAGTTTTTTCTTAAAGATCTGTTGTAAATCTTGTTTCATTGGTTCCGTTGCAGCTGCCTTAGCCTGGAGAACTGCTGATCTGTGCTTCGTGCATATATATGTAAGTGTATCATGCATAGCCAGCTTCACTTTACAAGTTTTTGCCTTGTCTTGCACATATTTTAGGAGATCTAGCAAGGTTTGTTTATAGCTGTCCTCTTAATTGAAACTTATGCATATGCTTTTCAATTTGCTGATATTTAAACTGTAAAATGCTGCTCTGAAATATTTATGCAACTTTATAGCAGCGCTAAATTGCACCCAAGGAAATAAAATGCACAAATCCCAAATGATTCAAGTGCGAAGTTGTTGACATAATTTGAGAGTTCTTAGCATAGATTGCAGCCGAGATTTGTTTGTGGATAAGATAAGCAGCATACATGTGTGAATATAATATTAGCAAAGCAAGAGAGCCGTAAAGAAACGATGTTCTTGCCATATTAGCATATCAAGTTTCTCGACAAAAATTCACAGAATGAATTTGTGTTTTTTTAGCCTCTCATTCTGTCATTTTGGCATTTGATGGCGCAAGCCCACTTTCGAAAGGGGCAAAGTGCTGGCGTTGGGCGTTGGGTGGCAAAACGATTACTTAATGGCTCTTGTCTTGTTTTTCTTTAGTTTTCAGAACCATTAAATCGACTCGGTCTCAAGTCATTGCGGCCATAACCCGCTTCTGTCCACTGACATTTGCTAATGGCTGCAAAATGGCCTGTGAAAGTGGCTGGCAAACATTTGC